TTATCCCATTTAGCTTCAAAACCATCCCAAATCATTCTAGCTTTCTCCCAATACTAGATAATTTAGAGAGTTTTCTTGAGAGTTGTTTTCTCCTTTTTATCAAGAGAGAATTATTATTGTTTTCTCCTTGTTAGATCGAGAGAGGTTGTAATTCCTATTTTCTCATAGTGAAATTCTTCTACCGTTGCCCGTGGTTTTTACACTATATTATTTAGGGGTTTTCCACGTAAAATTTGTATCTTCTTTATCTTCATTTTTATTTTCTCAAATTATCAGTTGCGATTTTGCTCTATCCGATAGCCTTATTCTGCAATAATTGGCATTATAGCTAGATTTGAGTGTGTAATATCTACTTATTGTCTTTGTGGTTGCTTCCAAAAGGTGGATCCTCCAACATAAGAAAATAAGAAGTTATTACCCATTCTTTGAAGGTTCCAGAGAACTATTCATGATAGTGAAATAGTGGGAGCTATCCGTAATAGAAGCTATGGCAACAAAATTAGATATTGAAAAATTTAATGGGAGAAATTTCTCATTATGGAAATTGAAGATGAAGGTCATCTTAAGGAAAGACGGTTGTCCAGCAGCTATTAGTGAAAGGCCGGTAGATTTCACAGATGATAACAAATGGATCGAAATGGACGGGAATACTATGAAAAACTTTCATCTAGCATTAGCAGATGAAGTATTGTCAAGCATTGAGGAGAAGAAGACAACTAAAGAGATATGAGATCATCACACCAAACTGTACGAGGCCACATCGCTGCACAATAAAATTTTCCTTAAGAGGAAATTGTACACTCTCCGAATGCCAGAATCTACTTCAGTGATGGAGCACTTAAACGTACTGAACACGTTATTTTCTCATCTTACATCCTTAAGATGTACAATAGGAGAACGTGTTGAACTTCTACTACAAAGTCTACCTGATTCGTATGATCAACTCATCATCAACTTGAAAAATAGTAATGTCACAATTCTAGTCTTTGATGACGTTGCAAGTGTTGTTCTACAAGAAGAGCGCAAGAACAAGGAAGACCGACAAGTCAATTTTCAATAAGCAGAAGCGTTGAAAACGATGAGTGGGAGATCAACAAAACGTGCCCAAAGCAGCAGTCGTAAATATGGTAGATCAAAGTCGAGAAGCAAAAAGAATTTAAAGTACTACAACTGTGGAAAGAATGATCACTTGAAGAAGGATTGTTGGATTCTAGGTAAAAACTCCAATCCACAAGGTAATACAGCAAACACTTCAGATGATGTAGATGCTCTATGTTGTGAAGCGTCAACCACCGTGGAAGGTAGAAAAATATTTACAGATATATGGCTCATTGATTCGGAGCAACATATCACATGACCTCAAGAAGAGAATGGTTCCATCATTATGAACTTATCTTAGGAGGATCTGTGTATAGTTACAATGATCATGCCTTAGAGATTGTTGGCGTTGGAACCATCAAATTGAAGATATATGGTGGAACAATTAAATTTGTTCGATATGTGCGGCATGTGAAAGACATGAAGAAAAATTTATTATCCTACGGATTGTTGGATAATAATGCAATCAAGATTGAACAGTGAAAGGAATCATGAAGGTATTCCGTTTGTGGTGATGAAAAGTGAAAAGATAGATGCAAACTTGTACATACTGAAGGGAGAGACTTTACTAGAAGCAGAAGCCTCTGTTGCCTCATGTAGTTCAGATTCTACAATGCCATGGCATCAGAAACTTGGACACATGTCAGAACAAGGAATGAAAGTCCTTGTGGAGAAAAAGTTACTTCCAGGCTTAACAAAGATGTCACTTACTTTGTGTGAGCATTGCATAAAAAGTAAATATCACCTGTTGAAATTCAACACGTCAAATTCTAGAGGAAAAAGTGTTCTAGAATTGGTTCATTCTGATGTATGGCAAGCACCAATTACATCCCTAGGCGGAGCAAAATACTTTATCTCATTTATTGATGACTACTCCAGAAGATGTTGAGTGTACCATATTAAGAAGAAGTCAGATGTGTTTTCCACTTTCAAAAACTTCAAAGCGCGGGTGAAACTTGATTCTAGAAATAAGATCAAGTGTTTCAAAACAGATAATAGAGGAGAATACACAAGTGAATAATTTGATGACTTTTGCAAGAAAGAAGGCATCAAAAGACAATTCACAATGGCGAACACTCCTCAACAAAATAGAGTGGCAGAGCGGATGAACATAACCTTGTTAGAAAGAAGAAGAGTAATGTTGAGGGATGTATGCCTAGAAAAATCATTCTGGGCATAAGCAGTCAATACCGCCCGTTATTTGGTGAATCAAGCTCCATCAATTGCAATAGAGTTGAAGACACCAATGGAGATGTGGACTGGTAAACCAGTTGATTATTCAAACCTCCATGTATTTGAAAGTATTGTGTACGTGATATACAACTCCTAAGAAATTTCAAAGCTGGATCTAAAATCCAGGAAATGCAAATTCTTGGGGTATGTGATGGTGTAAAGGGGTATCGCTTGTGGGATCCCACTGCCCGTAAAGTGATCATCAGCAGAGATATTATCTTTATAGAAGATAAACTACAAAGAAAAGTAGTCGATGATAGTATTGTAAAGTCAGAAACTACGCATATACATGTGGAAAATGAGTTTGAACAAGGAGATTCTTCTGAAGCAGAACCATTACATGATAAACAATAACCAAAGAGTTTTGAAGCTCCAACAACTCGTCAATCAGATCGTGTGAAAAGATGTCCCAATTGGCACTCATATTATGTTATAGAAGGAAATATTGAATACTGCCTTTTAACAGATGATGTTGAGCCATCAATGTTTCACGAGGCAATAAACAACTCAAATGCTTCACTGTGGATGATGGTGATGCAAGAAAAATTGAAGCCCTTCATAAAAATAATACATAGGACCTTGTGCCACTACCACAAGGAAGGAAGCCAATTGGTAACAAATGCGTCTTCAAAATCAAGCGAAATGGTGACGATCAAGTGGAGAGGTATCGTGCAAGACTGGTGGTCAACGGATATGCTAAAAAAGAAGGTATTGATTTCAATGAAATCTTTTCTCCTGTGGTTCGACTAATAACAGTTCGAGTAGTGTTGGCAATGTGTGCTACATTGAACTTACATCTAGAGCAACTAGATGTTAAAACAACTTTTCTTCATGGAAATATTGAAGAAGAGATTTATATGCTCCAGTCTGAAGGTTTTGAAGAAAAAGAAGAAAATAAGAACTTGGTTTGCAGGTTGAACAAATCTCTGTACGGTCTAAACCAGGCGTCGAGGTGTTGGTATAAGAGATTTGATTCCTTCATTATGTGCCTTGGATACAACAGACTTAATGCAGACCCTTGTGTTTATTTCAAAAGGTTTAGTGATAACGATTTTGTTATATTGTTGTTGTATGTGGATGACATATTGGTTGTAGGACCCAACAAAGATCATATTGAAGAATTGAAGGCAAAACTGGCTAGGGAATTTAAAATGAAGGATTTATGACCAACAAACAAGATTCCAGGGATGAAAATTCACCGAGACAGAAGTAATAGAAAGATTTGGCTTTCATAAAAGAATTACTTGAAGATCTTGTCACGATTAAACATGCAAGATTGTAAGCCAATTTATACCCCTCTTCCTATTAACTTCAAATTATCCTCCAGTATGAGTCCTAGCAGCGAAGAAGAGAGGATGGAGATGTCTCGAGTGTCGTATGCATCGGTAGTGGGAAGTTTGATGTTCACTATGATATATACAAAACCAGATATTGCACAAGCAGTGGGAGTGATTAGTCGGTACATGGAAAATCCAGGCAAAAAGCATTGGAATAAAGTAAAGAGGATCCTGAGATACATCAAAGGGACCTCAAATGTTGCATTATGTTACGGGGGATCAAACTTACTAATCAATGGGTATGTAGATTCTGACTATGCAGGGGATTTGGATACAAGCAAATCTACTATAGGATATGTGTTCAAAATTGCTGGTGGAGCTGTAAGCTGGGTTTCAAAATTGCAGTCATTTGTGGCTACATCCACAACAGAGGCAGAATATGTAGCAGCTACACAAGCCAGTGAAGAAGTAATTTGGTTGAAGATGCTATTGGAGGAGCTTGGGCACAATCAAGAGTATGTCTCTCTGTTTTGTGACAGTCAAAGTGCCTTGCATCTAGCAAGGAATCCAATATTTCATTCAAGGACAAAACACATACGAGTTCAATACCATTTCATTCGTGAAAAGGTGGAAGAAGGGACAGTAGATATGCAGAAGATCAATACCAAAGACAACATAGCAGATTTCATGACGAAGGCGATCAATGCTGATAAATTTACTTGGTGTCGATCCTCTTGTGGCCTGTCAGAAACGTAAGCAGCATGATGATACAAGACAGAAAGAATGGTATGAAGATATGATTGTTTCAATCAAATCTTCATGTGGGAGATTATTGAAAAGTCAACAATTACAGGCCACTTTCGGTGGGATTTTGGCGACAATTTTTTGGTGCAGGTGGCGCATTAATACACCGAAAATTTTAGTCAAAAAAGGGAAAGATTTTGTTGATTTATTGTAAAGGGATCATTGTAATTTAGTCCCTGCACTTTAGGATATTTACGAGATTAGTCTTTAAGCTTCAACTTTAAATACCCTATCTCATTTAGCTTCAAAACCATCCCAAATCATTCTTGCTTTCTCCCAATACTAGAGAATTTAGAGAGTTTTTTTTAGAGTTGTTTTCTCTTTTTTATCAAGAGAGAATTGTTATTGTTTTCTTCTTGTTAGATCGAGAGAGGTTGTAATTCCTATTTTCTCATAGTGAGATTCTTCTACTGTTGCTCGTGGTTTTTACTCTATATTATTTAGTGGTTTTCCACGTAAAATTTGTGTCTTCTTTATCTTAATTTTTATTTTCTCAAATTATCAGTTGCGATTTTGCTCTATCCGATAGCCGTATTCCGCAATAGTTGTACCTCTCCTATTTTGACTGGTTCAAGAATGGTCTAAAAAATGTTTTGGAAAGCTGCTGTAACTTTTGGTTATCATGGTTGAAGGTCATTATGTCATTTGATCGACTAAACAAACTGTTGTGTAGTTAACTGTGCTTTGTTAGACTGCTGTTGCCAACTTTAAATCTTTGCTCAATGGTTTCCACTTTTGACTGTTTATTAAGTTTTTTGGAATACTTTGGGGGTTTAACGATGCCGTTTCTTTAATGTATTGTTGTTGTTGCAGGTAAGACTTGTTTTCGATGTGCCTGAGCCTGGGGTTACTATTATCAAACTCACGCATTCAGATGTTCCTGAGGAGGATAGGTTGGTTTTTATTTGTTTTGTATTCTGGTATGGCTAATTTGTTATTGTTAGAATAGTGTTCTGAAGTTTTTTTTATTAGTTTTGAGAGGAATAAAGCTCTTTTTGTTTGAATCAGATTCTATTATAACCTTTATACTTCCCATCATTCACTGTTTTTTGATGTTTAACCATTGCTCGTTTTCATGGTTTTTGCTTTGCCTTTGTACTTGATTTAACTGTTTCTTTTGTTATAGGCATTGAAGTTATCCTCCGCGAAATTTTGACTTGTCGAGAAAGTCGAAGTACGGCAGACCGAAGATGGAACTCACCCTGACTCGATCGGATGATTGGCATCTTCATCTCCGTGATGCTGACCTTCTTCAAGCTGTTGCCCCTCACAGGTTGTTTTGCTTTTTAATAACAACGTTTTCTTATTGTTGACTTTTGGGGCATTCAATTTGAGTAATTATATTTGCTCAAGTGGCTGAAATCACTTTTTCAATTCAGTTGAACACTTAAACTGGTATTTTTGGTTAATGTCTTAAATAATAAAAAAAATTGTGTTTTTGAGTCATTGTTTCCATATTTATATTCTTGAACCTATACCAGTTTGAATTCAATATCTATTACTTGAAATATTCCATGTATTGGATTGATTAATTCTGTACAATCTTTGATCAAATTAACCAAAACAACCATTTGCTCACTCCTAGTTGACTTGAATTACTTCAATTTATGATAATATTATTTGAATGATTGTGATTTTTCCGTCTAATTTGTATTCTTACCGCAGTGCAAAGCTTTTTGGAAGGGCGATAGTAATGCCAAATTTGAAGCCTCCTATTACCACCACCGCGGCCGTTGCTTATGGAGAATCAATCTTGAAAGCATTGCTTGCTCGTAGCAACTTCACTCCACTAATGACAATATATTTAACAGATAAAACCAGTCCGAATGAGATCAAGCTCGCCAGAAGTCTGTCTCAAATTTAATATGGTATCTAAGATTCTTCTTTTTTGTTTCACATGTAACAGACCTCTACCAAACTCCTCTGTCTCTTTATTTTTCGTGCCGGGCTCCTGCATTCACAGCCATTTTTAATTTAGTCCTTTTATTTGGAACTGTAGAGGAACTGCACTTAAAACAAGTAGCTCCTATTTGTTATTTGGCCCCATTTGTTCTGACTTGAGTCTTGCAGTTTTTCTTATGATTGGTTCTAATGTGTTGACAGGAAAGAGTGGAGTTGTCTTTGCTGTTAAGTTGTACCCGGCCGGGGCTACCACAAATTCTCAAGATGGTGTTACAGATCTGTTTGGGAAATGCTTACTAGTTCTTGAAGAGATGGTTGAGGCAAACATGCCATTGCTGGTAATAATTTCAACCATACTAGGTTCATATCTTTTGTTGCTTAACTACAAGGCTCTTGTACATTGGCAATGTGATTTCTTAGATAACATATGACAGGCAAGTGCAGCCTATATAACATTGTCAATATTTCAAGACACTGCTTTCTCATTTTATACTTTTGTTGCTTTCAACTTCCTTAATATGAATCCGATCAATTTATAGGTTCATGGAGACGTCACAAATTCTAATATCAATTTTTCCCTTTCTGAAACTCTCTTTAATTTTCTAACTTTTTAACTTAAACTGAAATTATAATGCTTGGTGTTCATGCAGTACATTGAGGTTCTGAACGTAGAGGTTTTGATGTTGAAGTTCATGACTGGGAAATTCTGAAAAGCATTGTCTACGGTGGACTAATTGAATCAATCAAAACTTTAGGGGTTGTATCTTCTGCAGCTGGTGCGGGTGCCAATACATGTAAGTTTTCTCTATTTTCCCCTTCCCTAGATTACATTAAAATTCTAGCTTGTTCTTATAATCCAAACTTGAAACAAAATTCTAATTAAATCTAGCTTGTGTTCTTTTGATGTTCATATTTTTTTACTTGCTACAATTGTGTTCAAGTATGATATATTTATATAAATATTGATAAATTAGTAATTACTTTTATATAATTTTGATATATATATATATATAGTGTGTGTTCGTGCCTTGTTCATGTTGTTTTTACAATATTATATTTTATATAAAATTTTAGTTATTTTTCTAGTATTGCGTCCAAAATTAGCAAATCTAATTCTAAGCACGTTCTTAATGGAAAAAATACTAATTTATTGCTGTTAATTTGTTTTTTTTACTGTAGACAAACATTTGTTAAGGCACTTTCAAAGACCTCAAAAGAGGTGAAATTGTTATTTGTATTTACTAAATGGTTTGAAAGCTTGAAATGTTAATGCGATTGCTTATAGCGTTTGTAATAACCATTTTTTAAAACAATTTATTTTAAAAAACAATTATGACTTATTTAAAGAAAATATGGATTTTTGAATTAATTTAAATTAAATTGAATAAGAGTCTTTGAGCTAGTTAGGTCGAATACCTAAAAACATCTTTTAAAATAATTTTACGAAAAAATTGTTTTTAAGACAAAAATTGATCTGCGTTATCAAAGATTCGTTTTGAAGGATTCGGGAGTCGATTACGTGCGGGGAAGGATAAACACCCCACAGTGCCCAAAATTAGTACTTAGTCGCTTATATATTGTTGTAAAAGGTGGACATTGTGAATTCGGATTAATATTTAAATATGATCCATTTATTGAATAATCTATTCGAATTAATTATTAGGAAAAATTTTTAACTTGAAAAAAAATCCCGTGATTCGTTATCCTCCATCGGGAAAACTATCCCAGTTATTTCTTATCGGTGAAAGAATGTTCACTCCTCAAAATATTAAATCGAATAAGAAATTAACGTTGAAATTTGAATGAAATAATTCATTACCCTATTTTTTTATATAGGAAAGCATAAATTGTCACTACTTATATTAGAATAAAAATAAGAAAATAATAATAAAAACAAATTAAAATATTAATTATCTTAATAAATAAATAAAACTCGATTGATTTCAAATTTACATTTCATTCGAATGTCGACGAATCACACTATTCCTGTGAAGTGGTACTTTTCACACCCCATTCTACGATGAGTGTTCTTGACAATGTTTGAATAATCCCATTTATAGCATATACTAACATATATATATATATATATATATATGCAAAAATTGCAATAACTGAATAATAATAAGCACAAAATAAATAAAATACACATATATATGCACTTTCAAAGTACACGTTTAAAATTAATATGAGATAAAAATATGGTTAATAAGATTTATGATTCTAAATAATATTTTTTATCTACATATATACATACACAGCAAAAATATACGCATACGGTCCAATAAAAATAAATAAGGAGAAGCAAAGTATTATTTAAACATTAACCCAATTTATTTACATCAAAATGGTGACCAAAGTAAACATACGTCAAACTTTGAGGGATCTAAAGCATAAATAAGCATGTTTTGAGCATATGTTAAATAACAGGACTAGAACGTAACAATCTAAAAAAATAATAGGTCAAAACACAAATTTAACCAAAACAAGTCAATAACTTTGCAGTGACAAAAATATAAGCTAGATAAAATAAAATAAAAGCCCGAAGCATAAAAATGTAAACTTGTATTTAAGTGACCAAAACGAAATTTTACAAAATCAGAACTTCTCCTTACATGATTAACCCATGCGCTAAACGCATGGAACCCTAGCGCCAAAACGACATCGTTCCTTTGTGTGGTTATATACCACTTTAAGGGTGTTTGAAAACCCTATTTTCATTTTAACTTCCCATCAGCCGATTCTTACAAAACCCAAGGGGATAAGTCTTTCTCCAAACTAAACCCGAATGAAGAAAAAAAGGTCCCAAATGAACCCTCTCTCAGACCTTACTTGAAAACCAAACCTAAAACCCCCTAAAATGTAATCCTCTATCCTAGATCTAAAAAAACTAGTGGTTACCTTAAAAAATTGAAGGCTTTAGCTCGATGGAGATCATGTTCCGACTAAGAACAAAGGTAGTCTCTCTATTTTTTTTAATGTTTTTCTTATTTTTGAGGGGTTATTTGTTCGAAAGTGTCTTATTCTCCTCTTGGTTCAAATCCCCATCTTATCTTCTCTGATTTTTCATTTTTCTCTCTCTGTTTTTCTTTTTTCTTCCTTCGAATGAATCCCCCCCGAAATATATCTTGCATGGTGTTTTTTTGAAGCTTTTCGGGTAGGAATAATGAGATCTATCGGTAGGGATGATTTTATAAGATTTATCGGGATTTAAGCTATTTTAATGGGGTTTTAGATTTTATTTGACTTTTGATTTATTTGGGTTGTTTTTTATAACTGTTCGGCCTATGTTTCTAAAGAAGGTGGTGGTGTGGAGCTCTGATGGTGACGATGACATGCTCAAGAGGCTGGGAAGCTAAAAAGTCAGAGAATTCATCACAAGCGCAAGATCGGATGGTCCAACTTCTTGTTGGCGGTGGTTGGTAACAAGTTAGGAGCTAGGGTTTTGAAATACTATTTGAACGGGTCAGTTCGGCTGTAACTGGGTCCGGGTTGGACATTTTGGGCTTTGTAATTTGGTGTGGGAGTTATCCTTGTGGGTTGTGGAATTGGGCCCTGTTTGGGGTATAATTGGGTTTGTTTGTAATTGGGTCTTTGGGCCTGCCCATAAACAAAACAAAATAATATTAATATTTTATTTACGATAATAATAATAATTAATTTTGGACAAAAATGAGTGTCTACAGCTACCCCTCTTTGCCCATTCTTGTGTTAACAAGAGTAGGGCAAAGACAACAAGACAACGAGTTTTTGTCTGGTTCTCTCTTCCATTTTGAAACTTGATGTTAAAGACGACACTGCTCATCCATGTTGAAGAGATATGGCCACTTTTAGATAAATTTTTCATTGAAGATGACGTTATTCCTTCTCGTTGAGGAAATCGGGTTAATCCAGAGATAATACGGTGTTGAAGACTACTTTGCTCATCTGTTTTGAAGAGTTTTGGCCGTTTTTATATAAATTGTTTACTGAAGATGATGATGTTCATTCTCGTTGAGGAAATCGGGTCAATCTGGATAATTTAAAGACAATGTGGTTCCTTCGTGTTAAGGAAGTCTGGTTATCTGAGGATGACACTGCTCCTTCGCATTGAGGAGATCTACTCGGTGGACGACATTGTTCTTTCGTGCTAAGGACGTCTAGCCATATTTGGAGATAATTTGGAGAAAACATAATTCCTTCCCATTAAAGAAGTCTGATTGTCCGAGGATGACACTGCTCCTTCGCGTTGAGGAGATTTGGTTGGTGGACGACATTGTTCCTTCGTGTTAAGGACGTCTAGTCGTATTTGGAGATAATTTGGAGACAACAGGGTTCCTTTGCGTTGAGAAAGTCTGATTGTTTAAGGATGACACAACTCCTTCGCGTTGAGGAGATCTGGTTGGTGGATGACATTGTTCCTTCGTGTTGAGGACGTATAGCCGTATTTAGAGACAACACGGTTCCTTCTCGTTGAGGAAGTCTGATTGTCTGAGGATGACACTGTTCCTTCACGTTGAGGAGATCTGGTTAGTGGACGGCGTTATTCGTTCGTGTTGAGGATGTTTAGCCGTATTTAGAGATAATTTGAAAACAACACGATTCATTCGCGTTGAGGAAGTCTAATTGTCTGAGGATGACATTGCTCCTTCATGTTGAGGAGATATGGTTGGTGGACGACATTGTTCTTTCGTGTTGAGGACGTCTAGCCGTATTTGGAGATAATATGTAGACAATAATGTTCCTTCGCGTTGAAAAAGTCTGATTGTCTGAGGATGACACCGCTCCTTCACGTTGAGGAGATTTGGTCGGACGACGACATTGTTCCTTTGTTTTGAGGACGTCTAGCCATATTTGGAGATAATTTGGAGACAACACGGTTCCTTAACATTGAGGAAGTCTGATTGTTTAAGAATAACACAACTTCTTCGCGTTGAGGAGATCTGGTTGGTGGACGACATTGTTCCTTCGTGTTGGGGACGTCTAGCCGTATTTGGAGATAATTTGGAGACAACACGGTTCCTTCGTGTTGAGGAAGTCTGATTGTCTGAGGATGGCACTACTCCTTCGTGTTCAGGAGATCTAGTCAGTATACGGCATTATTCGTTCGTGTTGAGGATGTCTAGCCGTATTTGGAGATAATTTGAAGACAACACGATTCCTTCACGTTGAGGAAGTCTAATTGTCTAAGGATGACACTGTTCCTTCACGTTGAGGAGATCTGGTTGGTGGACTACATTGTTCTTTAGTGTTGAGGACATATAGTTGTATTTGGAGATAATTTATCTTTGAAAATGACATTGATTCTTCGTGTTGAGGAGAGTTAATCGTTGCTCGGTGTCAAATCCAATGATGACATTGCTCATTCTTGTTGAGGATATCTAGTCATGGTTACCAATGATTGAATTGAAAATCAAATCTTCTTCTTCAACATGGGTTTGTGGAATAAAATTATCTGCTAACTCTTGGAATTACTATCAAATATTCAACATTTGAGCGAAATAAAATGAGTGGAAAGAAATTTGTTTCCAAAGAAACTATCTCATGTGAGATAAAATTTTGTTTCGAGGGAAACAATTTCAAAATTTTTGTTTAAAGGTAAAAGTGTCTCAAGCGAGACGATATTTGTTTTTAGGAAAACAATCTCAAGTGAGATCAATTTTTTTAGTGAAACAATTTCAAAATTTTTGTTTCGAGGGAAAATGATCTCAAGCGAGATGAAATTTGCTTTTAG